ATAGTATGTACCTCTATCTCATTGAAGGTTAAATATGACAAAATGGGTAGATCATTTAGCATAGTGCCTGACCTATAGACTCAATTATTTATATACACACATATTAGTTAAATTCCATAGATGATCGATATTTAATTTAGAATATTAGTTAAAATGATGCCTTATGTATACCTTACTATGTATATGCTTATATGTATGTGCATACAGGTAACACACACTAAAACAAACATCCTGAGTCCTAATGTGAGCCAACATTGGGCTGGAAAACTTTTCACTGCTTATTCTCACATGGCCCCTCAAAATCACCTGGCCCTGGGCTGGATTCTGCTAGGTGATGAAGGAAAGAGGCACTGTGGAACTTTGAAGAGAAAGCAATGGCAAAGTTGAGGAGGGAAGGCAAAAGGAAGGACAATTTTAGAGATGTTAAATACGCCACTGAATGTCTTCCCAGAATTAAGTCATTCTATGCTTACCATTTTCAGGGAAAGAGAAACACAGTCTTTTAGCACCCACGTGGCTGGGCCTTGGAGAGAATCAGTGTGTGCTGCCAGCTGGAGCTTGTTTGGACAAGAGGCAGAACACATCTGGTCATTAATAGTGGTAATTGATCTTCGGTTAAAAGCCATGACTTAGATATAGGAAATACTGCAGCTGACAACTATTGAGAATCAGGTGATTGCATTCTAAAATTTTAATTTCAATTTTACAAACATTTAATGGGCATCTATTTGGTTTGCAGGATGGGATACAAAGATTAAAGAAATACAGTTCACATATTCAACAGACATACAATTTTGTTTGCATTGCATGAAAACTGTACAGCTAACTCTAAGACATAGCAAGATAAACATTATAAAAGTGTTATAAATCCCATGGGCCTACATGAGATTAAAGTGTAATAGGATATCCAGTGAGAGAAGGTGTTTATCTGGTTAGGAAGATTGTGAGAGTCTTCACAGAGTAAGTGGAATTTGAGAGACATTTTTAAGAAAAAGGACTAAGATGAGAGAAAGTGATGGAGTGAGGGAAAGAGTATTTGGGGGCAGAGAAGGCAGGGCATTTCAATAGACTATAAAATACAATGAAGTCATATCCCCCATAAGATACCTTTCTGTTATTTTAGAATATTTAGAGTATTTATGCAAAATCTGATTTGACATAGTTCCTAGAAAATGACCAACTCTATTCTTGTGGCTTAATATAAATTACATTATAGCACCTCATATCGTGTTTGAATATAGCAAAAATTTTGTTTAGTGTAATGACATAGTCTTTTGATTACAGAATACCTGGCCAAAGGGGCTTTTGTTTTCACTCAGGAAATACCACAGGTCTAATCATTGTTAAAAACAATCCATTCATGTATGACCTCATTTCATGGTTAGTATTAGCTAGACTTAACTGAAAGGAATAAGGCAAGCAATTTCGTTCTCCTGATTACCCATGTCTGAAGTAAATATAGCTATATATGCCAAGAAAGATGTTATATGATAAGGATTTTCTAGTATGGGTGCTTAGGAAGTGATGTATGGCAGATATTCTTTAAAAAACCTATTACAAAGAAAAATGAAAATTGTCATTTTTAAGACTAGGAAATCTTGCATCAGATGAATTAAAATGAACATTCCTTTTCCTCCTCCCTTCATCTGTACTGCTTCCCTCATAGATTTGGTTTACTTTTCCCTGTTGGTTGTAAATATCCCAGAGGGAGGATAAGGCACAGTAGAGTGAGTATGACATCTGGAATCAGAGGATTAGAGTTGGACTTCAACCCGACCGTTTTCTAACAGCTTGAACTTGAATAAGTCATGTAAATTTACTGAGCCTCAGTTTTATCATCTGTAGTAACAGATTATGGGGAAGATCATATGAAATAAATGAATTAGGATTTACTAGGAAATGGAATAACAAATTTGTAAGAAAAGAGGTGGAAGGAACAGAGGAGAAGGAAAGGGAAGATATCAGAGCTGCTGTGAGGCTCGTATATAGAGAGTTGGAGCCATAAACAGATCAGAGTGTAGACAAGAGAAGAAGGGATTGTGTTTCTCTTTAGAACGTCTATGCCTATTCACAGGCTATAAGCTACAAACCACTGTGCTGGCCTTGAGGAGAAAGCAATGTTGTATAACTTGGAAGGAGGTGTTAACTTCTAGATACATTTGAAAGGCAGTGGAATGGGAAAAGCACAGGTATGGGAATCAGGAGACCTGGATTTTAGCTCAAATCTGCCGTTACTTTATTGTGTTCCCTTAGCTAAGCCCTTCCTTCCTTTGGGCCTTCAGTTTTCCCACTTGTAAAATGAGATGTATTGAACTTCATGGTTCTCAGATATTTTTCTTCCTCCACATAATTCACATTGGTAGAGACCGCCAAGAAGTTGGGAAATGTCAAAGTGAGACTGTAAACTGAGAATGCTACCTACATTCTTGCTTGCAAGAAGTCTAGTTGCTTTAAACAAAAACTGTCTTGACTAATCAGTACAATTATACATATTGAGTAGCTTACTGACTTGTCATAGAATTATTCTTCCAGAGTACTTTAAAAGGGTAATTCATCCCTTTACACCTTGGGTATATTTGATTGAAGTACTACACAGGTAACAGAAAAATCACCAATTTCCAATGTATGCACCATCACTAATGACCACCATTTTTCTCAAATTAGTAGATTCTATCTGTAGTAACTACTGATAGACTGAGGGAATTGTTAGTTTATTTCACCATTCTTTTGAGAGACCTCTAGCTCAGAGATTTTAACTGGTGTTGAAAACTCTTGGAGTACTCAAGGAGTGAACAAATTCCAAAGATCATTTTGCCAAGATTAACTGATGACATTTTACTATGAAAATTAAGACAAAAACTGTCAACTAATAAACCAGATATTAGGTTGATGTCAGAAGTTAAATCACAGCTCTATTTTTTCACTTGCTTATTGTGTTTGTATCGTGAACTTAGCTTGGTATTCATGGTCCATGCAATGACTTTAGGGTGCTTATGACGCAGTGGCTGCAACAATGAGCTCAAACATGGCACGATTGTGAGGATGGCTCAGGACCGGGCAGTGTTTCATTCTGCTCTACACAGGCTCATTATGAGTCAGAACAGACTTGACAGCACCTAACAACAACATTACCACCTTGAAATTGTGGGAAAATTTTGGATATATTTGAATTTATGGATACGTAGTTCTCATCAGCTTCTCAAAGGAATCCCAAAACATGACTAGAAAGGTTAAAGAACCACCACTTTTTATATCCAACTATAAAATGTCACAGTTCAGATAGTTCTTTGGTAGAACTTGAAGTTAGTTTTAAAACATAGCCTAAATTTTTTAAATAAAATCTTAACTACATGGGGGTTAATAATTACCTTCACCTTTATACTTGATTCTTAAAACAAAAAACAAGAAAAACTATAGTGCCAAATATTGCTGAGATAAAGATAACCTAAATAAATGAAGATATGTTATCATGTTCATGAATTAAAAGATTTGATTTTTTTAAATTTTGGTAAATATGTATGTAATAAAATATTTGACATATCAGCAATCTAAGACTTAGTGTTTTTAAGATGTCAACTCTCCCCTACCCGACACTGATGTACAGATTCAATGCAACCTCAATTATAATACCAGCAGGAATTCTTGGTAAAAATAGACAAGAAGATCCAAAAAGTTATAGGGAGATAAAAAGGACCTAGAATAGCCAAAGCAATCTTGAAAAATAAATACAAAGTTGGAAGACTCATACTACTTGACTTTAGGACTTACTATATGTGGAGCCCTGGTGGCATACTGATTAAGAGCTTGTCTGCTAACCAAAAGTTTAGCCGTTCAAATCCACTAGCTGCTCCCTAGAAATTCTACAGGGCAGCTTTACTCCGTTCGATAGTGTTGCTATGAGTCAGAATTGACTCAACATCAATGGGTTATATAAGGTTGCTATGGGTTGGAATCAACTTGATGGTAATGGGTTTATTTGTTTTTTAATTTGGTATGCAACTACATTAATTAAAATAGTGTGGTAGTGTCTAAGAATCAACAAATACACTGATGGAACAGGATCCAAAAAGCCCATTGCCACTGAGTTGATTCTAACTCCAAGCGACCCTATAGGACAGAGTAGAACTGCCCCATAGGGTTTTGAAGGAGCGGCTGGTGGATTCAAACTGCCAACTTTTTGGTTAGCAGCCAAGCTCTTAATCAGTGTGCCACCACGGATCCTGATGGAACAAGATAGAACCAAGAAATATACCCCCACTAATACAGGGTCACTATGAGTCGGAATTGACTCGATGGGAACAGGTTTTGTTCTGTTTTTTTTTATATAGTCAAAGGCATCAAAACAATCCAGTGGGCAAAGGGAAGGCTTTTTAACAAATGGGGCTGGAATAACTGGATATCAGTATGGGAGATAATTGAATCTCAACCTCTACCTCACACAAAAAACAAGTATTAATTAAAATATAGATCATACACCTGAACAAAAAAAAATAAAAAAATAAAAAATAAAGCTTTTAAAAATAAAAATAAATAAACCCACTATGGATCTTGTCAAAGTCACCACAAAATGTTTTCCAACTTTTTCATCAAATTGCTTCCCAATCCCCTTTCATAGTTAAGTAGCTATACCCAGCACGTAGAACATCTTTCAATTCAGTCTGGTTGCTATGAGATAACCGAGCAATTGGCTAAGAAAAGATATAACTTCTAGAACAAACTAAATGTGAAATCTGGCAGTAAAAATATATTTTATTATTATTATACTTATTATTTGAAGTTCAGGGCAAATAATTCACTTACCTTTGATGGACACAGTTGCCTAGATAAAGCTCAAATAGTTCTAAAAGACCATTTTCTGATCTTTAGAACAATTTTATTATAAACATGAGAGTGTCTATATAGTCTCCTACTTACTTCTCTCACCTCTGTCCCTTCCAAAAGTAAAAAAAAAAAAACAGCAACAACAACAACAATAAAACATGCAACATAGAGCCATTTACCGGAGTCCATAGAGAACTGTTCCATCAGGATGCAGTCGGATCATTCGATTTTTCACCGTAACCCCATGCACAAATGATTTCTTGTCATTCAGAAAGTAGGTGTCTGGTACCCAGAGTTGGTCAGCTACCCTGTTGTCTAGTGTGAGGTTTAGTGGGATTCCAGAATAAGAAAGTCTTTTGTCTTTCCAAGACTGCTGGAAATACATGGTGAGTGTATAATCCTGTGAAATAAAAGAATCCAAGAAGGAATTTTACTGCCATCATCATCTAAAGCCTTTTGTTAAGAACTTGATAACCTGTGTTATTGTAGGTGACCAGAGACCCACCACCCTCCTGTACCCAAAAAGATTATATTTTACTACATTGACATGTACACCTCCAAGTATTGGGCAGTCAATAGGTTAAAAGTATTAGAGCAATACTTGAACTTATGCACAAGCATTTCCACCATTATAAATATATTATTTAATTGAATTTTAAGGTTTGAAGGTAAAGTCATGATTTCATGGGGAAAACAATAAAGGGACATTGTACCGAGAGATCCAACAAAAGGCTGTTTCTGGATATTATATTTACAGCACTATTTGGGGGGAATGTTTGCTAAATAGTGACAATGGATGCACCCAAGAGGAGAGTGTTTTTCAAATTGCAAATGCCCTTTCAATGAATAGTGCTTTGTTTGATTAGCAGAATTATCAATTACCATTATCTGGATCTTTCTAGAGAACTACAACTTGTCTATCAGCCCTGAGTTTATAAAGCACATGCAGATGGAAATGTTTATTTCGCCTGAGAACTTACATCAGTGGTGGAACTGCAATTCCTCTCTGACCTCATTCCTACTTCTTTTCAGGATTTGGTTTGAATTCAGAATTAGGTTTCTATCTGAGAATTTGTTTCCTTGCCTTCTGTAAAAGGATACATTAAGGACATCCCTCTGTACTTTTCTTTTTGCCTGGATTTCATCTGACAGAGAGAGAAAAGGAGGATTTGGGCTCAGTAAATGGATCAAGCTACTGAGGAGAGATGGTGATGATAACCTGAGAGCGTTAGTTGTTATCTGTTTTTAAAGAAAGATCTCTACTAATACCAAGTATTATTGCCCACTAAAAGAAAATAAATGGTAGCAGTAAAATCATAAAGTCTTTAAGATTTGAGTCCCAGCATAATAAAAACAGAAGGTCTGCTTTTTTAAAAAAGGACATTTATATGCCAATAGTGACTTCTGAATGTCTTAGAAACTGTTAAAAAGACACTGAGTAACTCCTGCACAATTTCTGTGTACCGGCATTATTACGTATATTATTAGCTGAGAAACGCTGACTCAGATCACATTTTATATCTGGGCAAACTGCACTTAAGCTAGACCCTGAAATGGATAAGAATACATTTCTGAAGAATCCTAAAAGATAAGATAATATTCATTTTGGATAATAAATACCAGTGTCCTTTAACCATTATATTCAAGAATGCTTACATTGTTTACTCAGAAACCATCTTGCAATAATTCAAAGCCACTTTTTTTTGTTCAATGTCAAGGGAGACATTTTGTCTTCACTATTACTCATACAATGTTCCCTTTGAAAAGTCTAAAACCTTATTTCACCTTACCTTCATCATAACAAGAAGACGAAGCAGAAGCCAGAGGGTTGTATACAAATCTCTTCTCAATTGCTACCATTCTCATTTGCACCCTCTCGAAATTCTTAACACTATGCTCTTTTGGAAGAAAATGAATTGGACAGACTCTGCATCTTAGCTTCCAAAACATCTTGATTCCAAGCTCTACCACATGTTAGATATACAACCATGGGCAGCTAATTTAACCTCTTGTACCTCAGGCACCTCATTTCTAAAATGAAGTTAATAGCATTTTACTGACTTACTGTGATCATCAATTGAGAAAATTAAGGTGAAGGCACTTTAGAAATTGGGCAATGCCAACCAAATAAAAGACATTATCTTGAAAATTGTTCATTGCTGGGTAGAGATTAATATCACACTTTAAAATTACTTGAAGCGATTCATATTCATTTTCGAAAGCATGTCTAGTTTTAAAGAGATGTTTCTGAAACAGTTTGTAGGTAGTGTAAGAAAACTAATAACTAGCCAAAAAAAACATATGTTGTAAACTTTGCCACGGTGATCAGCACAATTGACAATGCAATACGCATTTCAGGACTCACATGAATCCTCACTAGCTTCCAGATTCTCATGAGTGCTACAGAATTTCCTCACAATGAGACCTTGTGGAGAAATTCTTACTCCACAATTCTCTTCAATAAAGAAAATGTGAGGAAATTTTCTTATTGTAATGTGTAAAGGATTAAGATGGCAAAATAAGACTGTAATGATAAATGCTATAATCAAAATGCAAGTGTGGTAAGTAAACAATAGAGTGTGGAGAGGAGAAAATAATGTAAACATGAGTGAACCCTAGGTAGATAACGTGTGTGTGTGTGCGTGTGTGTGTGTAGACTTCTTTCCTTCCCTCTCTGAAGACCGTTTCCTGTAGAGAGAAAACTGTAAGCATGTGGTGAGAGTTGTGCTCTACACAACTCACTATTTTCAATAAATACTGAATAAAAATCACACCATGGTTCCTAATTAAAGCAATATAATTTGCACTGTTTACATTAAGAAGTAATCCAGTGAAATTATATACACTAGTATGTTACATTGGAAAGTAGCATAATCCCCACTGCTGTCGAGTTGATTCTGACTCATGGTGACCCCATGTGTTACAAAGTAGAATTGCTCCATAGACTTTTCTTGGCAGTGATCTTTACAGAAATAGATTGCCAGGCTTTTCTTCCGTGGCATTGCTCGGGTAGGTTCAAACTGCCAACCTTTAGGTTAGTAGTCGAGAGCAAACCATTTGTACCACCCAGGGAACTGAAAGTGGGGTGATGTGGGACAAATACCCTTCACACCTGTTCTTCTTATCCATTTTTAGGGTTATTATCCTAATCTAGGAACTCATTCTCTCATAAATAGAAATACAGACATATGCAATTGATAACCTTAATAAAACCTTTTTGAAGATAAAGATAATTGTGGTGATAATGGTGAACATCATGGAAACACCTAAAACACAGCAATATCTCCTTTTTGTACCATCTATGTTATACTACATGCATGACACTAATCCCTCTCTCCTGGAGAATGCTCCATGCTCTGGTTTTCCAAGCCCTCTCATATTTATTACCACATTTTGTTCTCACAACAACCCGTGAGACGGGCAGATATGAGAGCATTTATTATTTAAATATCAGAGAGACAATGTACTGTATTTTAAATAAATTATTCTATCTAAACCTTCATATAAATACTAACAGAGAGAGTTGAATACACGAAAGCCTAGGATTTCATTTTATTCTCTCTTTGTATTCTATTTTTAGATGGAAAAGAAAGGCTTAAAATTGTTGTATTTTGCTCTCCCATATAACAAATTTTCTATTAATTCTTTAATAGTGCACAGAATAAGCACTTAAAGAGGATGGGAAATTTTTCAGAAAGAAATTAAACGTATTGACTTCCGGGCAACATGGCGCTATAGATAGAAGCACTACACCGTCCCTCCACAGCAAAGATCTGAAAAACTAAGTCAAACAGAGACACACATCAATCCTGAAACTCTAAGCATCAAATGAAGAGATAAAGAACTCAGTCAAGCACTAAATGGAATAAGAAACTGACTGAGAACACAGAGTGAGGAGAGATACATGCAGAGGTCTCCTATCAGCTACCACAGCAAGGATCCGCCATCTTGGACTCCTATCAGAGATCAGCGAACAGGGGGTATAAGAAAGCAGCTTCACAGAGCTTCCAGCAGGAGACAGAACAACTGGTAACCAGCAATATAGGCTTTCCCAACCCCCACCCTTCTTCACCCCTACTTAGCCTCTTCTGCTTCCTGCAGCCACAGTCTCTTGGCCAGGAAGCACCAGCTTCACCCCAGTGTCGCTTGGATTCCACCCACTCACAGTGGCCAGCTCCCTGAGTGCCTTTTGTTGGCTGCTGGTGTTACTTTTCTCTGCTTCCTTAGATTTCTTCCTTATCTCTCACAACCTCCCCCTCCTTTCTCTCAAATATGTGGCTCCATGCGCCATCTTTATTTCTTCTTGAAAGACTGTGAAACACTGCTTGACTGTGAAACTGCTTCCCAGCCCCTGCTGCCATGCAGGTGGGACCCCAGGGCTTTTTTGTTTCTTTCTTTGTTTGCCCTGATTTGTTCTGTTTTGATTTGTTTTCTTTTTCTTTTCTCGGCTTGGGAGCCCCTTCTAGACGGGCACTACCAGGGAGCTTGGTAGCTACTCCCTTACTCTGCGCAGATGCACAGGGACATCCCTGGGGGCATTTCTTTTTTCTTGTTTGTTTTGGTTTTTTTGTTTGTTTGTTTCTTTGCTTTGTTTTCTTCTCTCTCTTATTCCTTTTTTGTCTTTCTTCATTTCCAGTTTCTTGATTTATTCACTTTTTTTTTTTACCTTTTTCTTCTTTTTTCATTTTTGTTTTTCCCCATTTCTCAGCTTCTCATCACTCCAATAGCAAGCTCCCTTAACACTCTTTTTTGTTTGTGTATATGTTTTTGGTTCCTGTTCTTCTCTCCTCTCTCTCATCTTTCCCATACCCAACTTAGCTCCACACACCACAGTCTACCTCCTCCTTCCTGCCTACCTGCACCGTGCACTGAACATCACACCACAAGCAGCAAAGGCAAGGCCTACTGGAATCTGCCCTGCACTGATTCCCGGATCTCACAGTCAGCCTTGTACGTGCCACAAACAACCCATCTCAGCAACTCCCTTGCAGCTGGACCTGCCACGCTGTACCATACCTGAGTGACTGACACTTCCCATTGGAGAAGAAGGTGAAAAGTATCATGCCCACAGATGAGTAAACAACAAAGAATGCACAGCCCGCCTGCTCAGACATAACCAAATAAAACAAAAAGCAGGATGAAACAAATAAATCTACAATCAATAAACAAGGAAAATAAGCACTGAATGCCCCAAAGACAACAGACTATATCAAAACATTTACAAAAACAGGACAGGGTGGTTCAAGTAGGCATCCAAAATAAAACACCAGATGACTTTCCAGTAGAAGAAAACGCACTAGACCTAACTGATAGGGAATTCAACTCTCTAATATTCAGAATTAACCAAGAGTTGAAGTAAAAAGCAGACAAAAATGAGGAAAAGATAGACAAACTCATGGA